TTTGCTGTGTTCTGCTTGATTGGTGTTTCTAATATCTTCTGTCTGTTTTGTGGCTTTTTTTGTCTTGATTGGCTGGCAACATTATGTTCCTGTATTGGAGGCTTTTAGTGCAGTTTGGCTCCGAGTAAATGGATGGCTATCATTTATTAGGAATCTAGGTTTCATCTGGGTGCCTGGTTGGGGTGTGTTTGAGCTGGAGGTATCAGGGGGGATCTGTTTGTGCCCAGGTGTTTGCCTGGCTTGTGGTGTGGAGATTTTTTTGTTTGTGAGTGGAGGCTTCCAAATAATTGACAGTCTAGTGGAATCATCTCTTCTATTCATGCTTTCATGCTTCCAGCAAATTCCAAGGCCAATAAACACAGAGCAAGACTCCCAACCAATCAGGATGAAGAAAAAATCATTCTGGTACAGCAGTAGGCTAGCCCCAAATTTAAAACTGAAATGGCTGTGAAAGTCTGACTCACAGACGAACACAATACAGAAGCCTGATGATGGCAGATGAGTCTTAAACTTGCCAAAGTTGAACTCAACTAATCTAAACCAAAGATATGAAGGAGAGGGGAACAAAAAAAATTGTAAAAAGTTCAGAAACAACATGATATGGTCACAAGTTTTTACTTTCATGTAATATAAGCCATTTAGACCTTAACTTCTCGCTCAGCATCCAACGTTCCTCCAACTTGTTCTTGCAACAGTGCATATGCCCTCTGTAAAGCTTGATATTCCATTGTCAGTTGCCTGAATCTTAATTCCGTTTCTTCTTTTGCCATACCCTAATGTGAGAAGGAATGCAAAACTGAACTGGAGATGCAATTATCATGACAAATCAAAACATTACCATTCATCAATCCCTTTATGAAGTGTAATGTAGCCTCTTCTATGAAATAACACTTTAAGAAAATTGTAAATTGTTATTGTTATTAATCACACAGCCAGATGTTCAGACTGGGCTTGGCATTTTTGTCTACCTGTTGAGTCCTTACCAAGGACCTGGGATAAGCAAATCTGGATGTTTGATGGGTTGTTGTTGTTGTTGTTGTTATTATTATTATTATTATTATTATTATTATTATTATTATTATTATT